CAAGTGGTCAAGTGGTGAGTCTAAGGTAGGCCCACGTTTTCAGACGAAGACAAGTGGCAAGGTCAACAGGTAGGGCCTCAGTGCAACTGCACTGAGTCGACGGTACGACTGCCTACAGTCAGCAGAAGGGTCTAGAGAGTCCCAGTCCAGTCCAGCAAGTACCACAGGGGGACTGTGAGCACCAAGGGCCAATGGCAAAGGGCAGACCAACGAATTTCTGAAGTATAAATCAAGAGGCAGCGCCCAGCCATTCATTATTCATTCCTGCGTGAGCCATGCGGAAGCGCTGCCACAGCAACTTGCGCAAGGAGGTCTGCAGATGAGCCCGGAGGACGCAGTGGGCAAGAGAGGAGGAGTTAGCATAGCGATAGGTTAGAGTCAGCCATAGCTGCCATAGCTATAGTTAGTAGTGAGTGTGTGTGTGTGCTCGAGTGTTAGAGTGATGCGTGTGGGATATCCAGGGTGACCCAGTGTATGTGAACAGTGAGATGTTTGTGCGCTGAGGTCGCCATAGCCAATTGGGAGTGAACTCGTATCTGAAAACCATATCTCTGAGTTTTGAGTGGGCGCATGTCGCCAGTGTGCTGCGTTACTGTTTACATGTGTGAAAAGTGTGTTTGAAAACGAGTCTGATTGCAGTAAAAAGAGTAGAGCAAAAATTCATACGTACAAGAAGAATGTCCAATCTTTTCTCTATTAATAATAACAAACTCAGCGCTGAAGACTACTGCTAACGCTACAACATCTCCTGCAGCGCTCCTCCAGAGTGCTGCTGCCGAATCCTGAAGACCACTAACTGCCTCCTGCCTCCCCGTGAAGCGCATGGGAAGTCCCTATGTACTACCTCGGCCTGCCTCCTGACTGCCTCCGACAGCCTGCAGTTGCAGGGCGGGCAGTCCAGGAGGCTGCTCTTGCCAATGCCAAGCTGAGCCAGGGGCTGGTGCTGCATCTGTCGTGGGAACAGGCCAAGAATAGCCTGTTCCTAAAACCCTCGTTAGGTCCCTGAGTTTCAGGGCAGGTCGGTCTGATGACAGACCGAAAATGGCCCTTCGTTTCAGGCTAAAAAGGCCACTGCCATTTTTAGTTTGAAACGACACAGGGTTTGTAGGCCCCTGTTTTTCAGGCTTTCGAGCTGAAAAGACATGGGGCCTGTAGGCCCTGGTTTTCAGGCTTTCAGCCCGAATTTCAGGCTTCCAGCCTGAGGGACGCAGGGCCTAGGAAATGGCCCTCGTGTGCAGGCGCAGCATGTAACACCCCCCCCTCCTTATGAAGTCAAGCAGCGGCGAGGGCGAAGCTGACGATCTGAAGGTGGAACCTGGACGTGGGTGCGGCGTGGAGCCGAAGAGACCGGCTTGCCTTGCATCTTGCATTCGTAGCGTGCGAGACCGAAGTTCCGCACGGGTCAACCAAAGGTCAGCTAGGTGTGTGCAGTATGCAAAATGTACCAAGTACTCGGTTGGCCTGTTGTCGTAGCGTCGCTGGGAGATGATGTCGCCGACCTCTTGAAAACCGTCCATACACGGTGGGTCTTGCGATCGTCGTCCGGGAAAATCGTCCTGTTCCGCTGGCATGTAAAGAGCCAACTTGGAGCAATGAAAAACCGGGTAGACAGGCAAGTGGGCGGGCACCTGAATGGTGAAGGAAGGTCCCTCGGGTGCATCCCCAGTGGGTCCCACGATCGGCCAAGGCCCCATCCATTTCGGGAGGAGCTTGCGAGAGATATCTTGTTCAAGGCTGAATTCCACAACGGAGACCCAAACGAGATCGCAAGAGCGGAATGGGCAAGGAAGCCGCTGGCCATTGGCCTGTTGGCTCATGCGTTGCTGCGTCTTGGCCATCTGGTCGCGTGCCTCGACAAGTAGCTCTTGCATCCGTCGCAAGAAAAGAAGATGGTCGTCGCTCTCGGCCGTTCGTGGAATGATGGTGTCCAACGGCGAAGTGACCGGCGAGCCGTGCTCAAACTCGAAGGGCGACATCCCGCTAGCCGGGTGGATGGACGAGTTGTAAGCCAACTCGACATCCGGCAGCCACTCGACCCAATCCTTTTGGTCAGGACGGATGAGGGTGCGAAGGAGAACTTGTGCGGTCTGATGCGCCCTCTCCGTTTGGCCATCGGTTTGGGGGTGGCGAGCCAAACATGGCTTGAGAGATGAGCCCCATCGTTTGATGAGCGCCAACCAAAAATCGGACATGAACCGAGTGTCGCGGTCGCAGACGATTTCCTTGGGGTAACCCTTGGTTCGAATCCAACCGGCGTAAAGAACCTCGGCTAACTCCGGTGCCTTAGCATGATAGCGGCAAGGCAAAAACATGGCGAACTTGGTAAGTCGGTCGACCACCGTGAGATCCCATCCACTCCGATCTTGTGCTTGGGGAATAGGCCGGTAATGTCCATGGCAATCACTTCCCTTCGCCTCAACGGGACCGACAATGGTCGTAACTCGCCATACGGACAATGGTTGTGGGATTTGCAGCGTCTGCAAACCTCGCATGACTCGCAATAGAGTGTGACGTCGCCGAGAAGGCCGGGCCACCAAAATCGCTCGCGAAGTCTGCCAATCGTGCGATCGACTCCATAGTGTCCGGTGGCGGGAGCATCCTGGAACTCGCCAAGAAGCCGTGTACGCAAGTGAGGGTCACTCGGTACGCAAAGAAGGTCCTTCCCCCGTGTGTGGACAAGCAAGTACCCCTCTTGAATCCGGTAGTGAGAAGGTGCCGGATTAGGAGAGGAGCAATTCGCGTACTTGTCGCGAAACTCGGGGTCGGCTTGGTAGTCGCAGATGAAGCTGTCCCGCAGGTCGTYGTCGATCTCGAAGGTTRAGTAGAYCGCGGTACAATGATCCGGACGTCGTGAAAGAGCATCCGCAAAACGGTTCGACTTCCCCGGGATGTGATTGGGAAAGAAGTCGAACCGGTCGATGAAAGTCATCCATCAAGCGATGGTGCTGTTGATAGTGTCTTGGGTCTTGTAAAAGACCAACGGATAGTTGTCCGTTACCCATCGGAATTGGCTTCGACCAAGGAGGAAGTGCCGCCACCGCTTAAGCGCGTTGACACTTTCTTGCTGAAATACTCGATCGGGTGCCAGTCCACGCCATCATGGTTCTCAATGACGGCACCAATGCCATAGCCGGACGCATCCGTAGTGACGCGCGTAGGCAAAAGCGGGTCGTATATGCGCAAGACCTCCGCAAATAATAGTGCGGCTTTGAGAGCTAAAAATGATGCTCGCGCATCCTCTCCGAAGTCAAACGGTCGGTCCTCTCATTGAAGCTTGGTCAAGTGGGCCGCGATCTTCGAGTAGCCCTTGATGAAACGCTGGTAGTAGCCGGCGAGGCCAAGGAACGAACGGACATCCATGACGTTCCGTGGCTCCGGCCACTCTTGGATGGCTTGAATCTTGTCCGATAGTGAACTGATGCCCTCCGGTGTGACAAAATGGTCCAAGTATTCCAGGTGTTGCCTGACAAATTCGCACTTGTCGCGATTGGCCTTGTACTTGGCGCGGCGGAGCGTCTCCAACACTCGTCGAAGATGCCCAAGAGGATCCTCCAATGTCCGGCTATAGACGAGAGAGTATTGTCTAAGTAGACCAGCATGAACCGGTCCAACATTGCACGAAACTCGTCGGCCATTGCCGCTTGAAAAATCGTCGGGGCGTTGGTGAGGCCAAAAGGCATGACCACCCACTCAAAATGCCCGTACCACGTCTTGAACGCGGGTTTGTGGCGATCGTTCGGCCGGATCGAGATTTGATGATATCCAGACTTCAAATCCAACTTACAAAAACACTTTGCGTCGCCCAATCGCTCAAGAAGATCAAATGCGAGGAAGAGGCCCCGCATTCTTGACGGTTTGCGCGTTGAGCTTGCGGTAGTCGATACACAATCGTAGATCTTTGTTCTTCTTCCGTACGAAGAGAACTGGCGCTCCGTATGGAGAGCTACTAGGGCGAATCCAACCCTTGTCCAACAAATCATCGAGTTGCGTGCGGAGGACCGTAATTGCAACCTTTCAACGGCATGGCACCGGCCTCTAGAATGATCTCGTGAGAGATTGGCCGATTCGACACCACACCGGTAGGTGACTCAAAGATGTGGGCGAACTCGTCAAGCAACCGCACCACACGGGGGTCCGAAGACAAGTCCGTGGGTGAAGAGTCGACTACCGCGACGGTTCGTAGGAAACATAGGCCGATTTCGTCGGGCTGCTCGTAAGCACAAGTAGCCCGGAATGACTTGGTCGTCACCACTTCGGCGCTGACGTCGCGAATGGTAAGGTCCGCCGATGGAAGTTGATCGTGTGATCCGCACTTGCAAGCCAAGGCATTCCCAACATAATGTCGAAGTCCGTGTCCAAAATGTCAAATGTCACCGGTTCGCATGCCTGAGGTGCGAAATACACCGGTACGGCCTCGATGCAGCGGTCGATCAGTTGTTGTGTCCTTCCGTCCGCCAACTTGATCGTCGTCGGGTTTGCCTTCCTTCGAACTTGTGCACCAAGGCCAGCCCTTTGCATAAAGGCTTGGCTCATAAAATTGCGAGACGCGCCGATATCCAGCAAAGCGTTGCAAGACGCTTGCCCAACTTGGACGCGGACATAGAGGAGCGGTGCGTTGTTGTCATCGTACCGCTGATTGCGAAACTCGCGGGCCACCTTGGTAACATACGCAAGGATGTCCCCCACCGCGACTTCGTCATCGGCGAAGTTGGTGGTGCATAGAAGTAGGTGTGGAGATGAGCGCATAGTACTGCGCATTGCGGTCCCGACAAGCGGCCCGTGGTCGGGAGAGGAAGCCATGTGAAATCCCTCGACGTGAGCGGGTCCAATACCTCTATGTTGAACTCGCGCGCCGAATCCCGTGACGAACCACTTGAAGATGATAAGTCGCCGCTGTCGGACGGAGAAGATGCCGCACGCACGTCTTGTCCTTCAGCTTGAGTAGGCAGCGTAGGAACGAGTCGGGCAGCATAGTCCTCAAAAGAATAAAGCAGAGGACTATCGACTTCCGCATGTACCTCGAAACGAAGGGCGGTCACCCGCGAAGCGACCGGTTCCAAAGGCGTCGAGAGTGTCATCGAGTCACTCCCGGCGGTGCCCAGTTTCCTGATTTGCCCTTGCCTTTTGATGGGCAGGCCACTGTCTCATGGAGATCGATGTTGCACCATAGGCAATAGTGAAATCTCGTGCGCACTTTGAATGCTTGCTCGGAGAGACCGTATTGGGACCATGGGGCTGGAGCTGCTGCGCCGGGCCCGAGGCTAGATGCGGTGTTTGTCTTCGTCTTGCCGCGTCCTTGGCCTTTGCCGGAGCAACCACCTTCCCGGGCGGCTGCGAGTCTGTCCCCTTCATTGGCAGACACGGCCTCGCTAGTTCGGTCAAACGGCGTTGCCGCCGCGACCACAGCCACTTTCGGTCGATGTTGATCTCTGCTCGGGCCTGCCGCAGACGGACGCAGGTTCTTAGCCTCCTTGTTCGTGATAATAATCTGCGCGGCCTTGTCAAAGAGTTCCGCCGTTGTCGTCAAGGTGTCCTCGACATGAGTCAAGGCATTGCTCAATGCCGGACACAACCTTGAGATAAAATAGTGGCGGATGGCTTTGAAGCCCATTTGGATGTCTGGGACTGATGTCAAGCGTTGGTACTCAACTCCAGTCGACACTCGGCAGCGTGCCTTGTTCGAAGACCATTAGCTTGTCCATTGCCTTGATCTCCGGCGGCTCTACTTGGAACCGTTTATGCCACGCCGCCCTCATATCATCCCAACTGATCTTAGCATGCAAGTCGGCAGCTACCACTCCGTACTTGAACAAGAGATTGTCCAACCATGCTTGGCACGCGCCCCCCGAGCGGGAGTATAAGTACGCGTGGTGCTTCTGTTCTTTGACGTAGTGTAGCTGCAGCGTGAGCTCGAACTTGCAGAACCATGGAATCGGATCTGTCTTCGTCGAGTCGCAGAAGATTTCCTGCCCGTCGAACTTTGGAGTTGTCTCACGTGGTTCCGAGCTCGAGTGGTTGGCGGCAGTGCAGATCCGCTGTTCCAACTGTTGCGTTGCGTTTTGTTGTAACTTCACGCCGTCCTTGAGGGAGCCGACATCCATCTCCAATGCCTCAAATGATCGGAGGTGTTGGAAGAGTTGGCATAGGGGGCGGTGACAGGTCGCTGCTCCAGCTGCCGGAGGCGGCTGTGGACTTGAGTCAGCGCGTCGAATGTCCTCCTCCTGTGTAATGCATGTTGCCAGGAGGTCCGTGAGATGGGAGAGGACTAAAGCAATCTTGTTTTCGCTATCTTCCATCTTGCCATTCTCAGCCTCGGCCCGCCAATCCGCTGCCATTGTGAGCAACACTTGCTCTCCGCTAAATATCTTCTCAGATCGTTGAACCCATTTTTCATCGACAGCCTTTGCTGCTGCCTCGTCGTGCTGGCGCTGCTGTTCAATTGTCAGCAGACGTGCCTTCTCGGCGTCCGCTGCTGCCTTCTTCGCTGCGGTTGCTACGTCATCCGCTCGTTTCTTGGTTTCGGTACTCCAGGCCGGCATCCGGGCCTGATAGGCCTCGTATGTTTCCCCGGACTTCTGGTCCATTACAGCTGTTCGCGAGCGCAAAAGCATAGACCAGGCCGGGGGCCTGCTGACCTGGTACTCTCTGCTGCTGACGTGGCACTGCTGTCGGCTGACGTGGCACTGCTGTCGGCTGACGTGGCCTGCTGACGTGTCCTGCTGACATGGTCCGCTGGCGTGGTCTGCTAACGTGGCAACTCACCAATGCCGCCGCCAGGGGTACCCGAAGACCGATAGAGAAGGGAAGACCAGAGGGGGCAACAACATAGGTTGCGAGGGGTGGGTGGGATAATCGCCCAGATAACGTCCAGACAAGGAGCCACTTATCAAAAAAAGAAAAGTTTGAGCTTTGCAAAAAAAAAATCGAAAAAGCAAAAAAATCCCGAGTTTTGCAAGTTCAGTAGGTCTCCCAACCTCCCTTGAAGTGCGAAAGTATTAATGAGAAAAATTTTCGAACTTCAGACTGCCATTGATAGTGAAAATCATAGAACTGCGAAAAGAAAAAAAAATTCCGAAAAGAAACAACAAGTATTCGGATTTACTCACATGAGAGTATTCGCAATTTGGAAAATGGCACTGCAAGAGGGATTTCCCGTACCGTTTTCAGAAAAACGGATTTCGGAAAAAATATTCCGAGTTTCCAAATAACGGGAAATGCAACAGGAAATCGAAATTTTCAAGAAGAAGATATTCCGGATTTCCAACAACGAAATTTTGGATTTTCAGAAGAAAAACGAAGCGGAAATTTCAGATGTTGCGCTATTGCGATTTTCCACAACAGAAATAGTGAGAAAACGAAATCCAAGAAAAGAAAAAAAAATCGTTTTTCGGCAGTGAGGTCAAAATCGTGATTTTGGGGGCTAACTAGTGTGCGCTAATCAATCAATCAAGACTAATCAGCTACCTAGTTCCCGCACACGTGTCAGATCAGGTTGTCCTGATTCACGTGCGGTTCTCCGATACCAACTGTTACATGCCCAGTTGGGCGATGTACATATAAACCGAGGATCCGCAATGTGATAAAAAGGACTGAATTGACAATGCAGTGCAGGTGGAATCTCAACAAGCAATGTGCTTTCCGATACATACAAAAATGGTGTTTTATAGCGCAGTGGAAGATTTAGATGCAAGTCCTGACCTGACCGGGACTGACCCCATTCACGTAGTACAAGATAGCAAAGCAGAATGCTAGAATACTAATGACTAGCCCAATCAATGTTTCAACGCAGACCAACATACATCATGCTCATCACAAGGTGTGAAGGGGCCTGGCGCTATACACAGGAAAGATGCGCCAGGTCCAAACATACACAGACGAAGAGGAGGGGATCAGAATAAGACGAGGAAGGGGGAGATGGGAAAGTCGTCAACACCAAGTCTTGTTACCAGTCCCAAATAATCCCTCTTCAAAATGTCTGAAGTCCCATGTCGAGTCTGGATCCATTGTCACTAAGTTCTCTCTCTCTATATATATATATAAATATATATATATAATATATATATATATATCGCTCGTAGTCTGCTGATGCAGTGAAGTCATATAGCGAGAGGGTGAGAAGAAGATGGTGGACTGAGAAGAGGAAGAAGAACTCTCTCTCTCATATGTGCCAGGTACTGACCTGTGAAGATGGCGCTGTGCTGCAGGTACCTCGAAGACGAAGCTGGATCAACGGCGCTGCAGGTAAGTATCCCTGGCCTCCGCCCAATCTCTCTCTCTCTAGCACTACTCTAGCTATGGTGCCCAGCGCTGAAGACTACAACTACCGCTACCAGCGCCCAACGCTGAAGACTACTGCTAACGCTACAACTACTCCTGCAGCGCTCCTCCAGAGTGCTGCTGCCAAATCCTGAAGACTACTGACTGCCTCCTGCCTACCCGTGAAGTGCATTGGAAGTCCCTATGTACTACCTCGGCCTGCCTCCTGACTGCCTCCGACTGCCTGCAGTTGCAGGGCGGGCAGTCCAGGAGGCTGCTCTTGCCAATGCCAAGCTGAGCCAGGGGCTGGTGCTGCAGCGGTCGTGGGAACAGGCCAAAAATAGCCTGTTCCTAAAACCCTGATTCGGTGCCTGAGTTTCAGGGCAGGTCGGTCTGATGACAGACCGAAAATGGCCCTTCGTTTCAGGCTAAAAAGGCTACTGCCATTTTTAGTCTGAAACGACACAGGGTCTGTAGGCCCCTGTTTTTCAGGCTTTCGAGCTAAACAGACACGGGGCCTGTAGGCCCTGGTTTTCAGGCTTTCAGCCTGAGGGACGCAGGGCCTGGAAAATGGCCCTCGTGTGCAGGCGCAGCATGTAATAGGGGGCGGGGACCGGCAGGCGCAGGCGGGCCCGGTCCAAGGATTTTCAAGCACCAACTTTGGCGATTTTTCGCGTTCAAAAATTTTGAAGAAGAAATCTGAAAATTTGAGATCTTGTAGATTAGATTGTGAACCTTACAGTAAAAATATCAAAAAAATGAAAAAAAAAAAATTTAGACCGTGAAATTAAAGCTGCGTCGTTTCGTTGCACTTTCCAATTTTGTCACTCAACCACGTGTGGGCCAACGGGAAAAGTACCCCGACTTCCGTGATTTTTTGCGCTCAGAAGGCTGACTCGACAACTCCGCAAATTGCAGGGCCTGTGGATTTGGTCACTGTATTAAATATTAAAAATTTTCGAAAAAATATTTTAGACCATGAAATAAATGTCGCGCCAATTTGTCCCTTATTCCAATTTTTCTGCTCTATCACGTGTCCGCCAACGGGAAAAGTACCCCCGACTTCAGCGGTTTTTCATGTCCAATGCAATGCTCTAGGAAGTCTGAAGACTGGAGGGTGCGCAGATTTCGTCGTGAACTTTGTAGGAAAAGTATTTTTAAAAGTTTTAAAAATCATTTCAACCGCAAAATAAATCACAGGGGCAATTTGATGCATTTTCCAATTTTGCCACTCCGCCAGTTCCACCCACTGTGCTACCGGTAGCCCTCATGGACCTGTTCTACCACACCCCCCTAATTTAGGACGGCGGAGGTAGTGGTGGTGTAAATCAAAGTTTGAACTTTTCAATTTTTGATTACTGGCTCCTTGTCTGGGCGATCAATGTGACCCCATAGGGGTGGGAAGGCGGTTACCACTCTCTCCCCTCCCACCCACCCCATCTACGCTGCCCCATTCTCTTCTCGCCTCTTTTCCTTCATCTTCTTCTTCTCTGCTGCGGCATTGGTGAGTTGCCAAGTCAGCAGGCAACGTCAGCAGTGACACGTCAACGGACAGCAGTGCCACGACAGCAGCCGATCAAGCCACATCAGTTCCTGCCACCGGCTCCGCAGCATATGCCAGCCGTCACCTGATCACAGATGGGCGACATGGAGCAGTGCCACGGCGTCAGCCCCTGCCACCGGCTCCGCAGCATTTGCCAGCCGTCACAGATCACAGACGGACGACATGGAGCGGAAGCAAGGGGAGACAGAGGAGGCCTCTGAGGCCCGCATGTTGGATCAACTAGCTGAATGGAAGAAGTGGGCAGATGCGGCCACAGCCGCAAGGAAAACAAAGGAGGAGGCAGAAGAACCCTGTCGCCTTGTTACGAGACAGCAATTGGAAGACGCTGAGGCAGCAAAGAAGGCTGCAGACCAACAACGCCATATACGCCAAGATGCACTCTTTGAAATTAAGGGTGATATCGAGGAAGCAGCCCGCAATTGGGGGGTGCTGCCGAAGCAGAAGATGCCACTAACGCTGTATGCAGCATTGCAGCCGCATTTGCACATGTGACCAATCTGGTCGCCACGTGCACAGCTCAACAAGAGGACATCTCTGCGTAGACACGCTGGTCAAACAGGAGGCTCAGCTCATCGCCAACCTGCTCGACCGCGTGCACAAGCTGGAMCAGCAGCCTGCAGCAGCCACACCCGCCGGACCCTCCAACTTGGCGGATCGTGTGAACATCTTGGAGGTAGACATGGGCGTCGTCAAGGACACAATGAAGCAGCAGCACTCAACCAACCAACAGTTGGATCAGCAGATT